CCACAAAATTACTTCCTCTGTTGTATGGCCTTCCAAAAGTAAGTTGCTACTTCTTGGTGGGACGCGGTTGAAGTCTGCCACTTGACATAGTTGCGCGATCGCGATCCTTAGCCATTACACAGGTAACAAATCACCCTGGTCCGCTTCGGTATTCACTAGCACTTGTTGCTTTAAAACGTGGTTTTACCCCAGAACGCAGTGATCCGCTTGGTTGCATCGACACTACTCACTCTTCCGCCCCATACACATGAGCAATTTGATTATACCTAGCAACGCTCCAACTTAGCATTTCGAAGTCAGTGTGTTCATGATCCCCATGCCAACACTTGCCTCTTTCTTTTCATTCGCAGTCGATGTCGGCCTTCCCATGAACTCCGGTTCGCATTGTATCTTCACAATAGTGGTGCCGTTGAGTTAGTTCCTCAAACTTGTATGCCTGGTGTTTCCTCAGTTGCAGTACAGTGCCATTTCTCTTAGTTCATTTACCCTTTTGGTTTCTTACGTGTGTATTACTGCTTCCCGGTGCATGCCTCAAAGCGTTATTTCAAACTTCTCGTTAACAGTTTCTGCCTGGCAAACAACAGGTATGACGTTTGCATGTTCAGTTGGCTTAGGTGCACAATGCGCATTCCCATACTTGCGTATGCCTTAGGCCTCGGATAATAACAACTCACCACCAATAGCCGCCCATGGTATTCCAACCTCCGTGCTTACCACACAAGGACAGTCGGCAGGTGGCATTCTTGGCTGAAACGCATCACTAGTGCCCTGAAGCCCTTGTGCCCACATTCCTGCTGCAATGCTTGCAACATTTCGCTGGAGATTACACAGCTAGCCAATTAGTAGCAATGGGCTTGTTTCATCAAGCTTGCAATTCCGCGTGCAATTTGCTCCATATCCCTCCTGAGAAAACCTTTTGCCATTCAGCAGTAAATCATTGACTTCAATAACTTCCTCACACGTGACAAGTTATATTGCGTATATGGCTATCCTACATATCACACCACCCTCTGTGTGCTAGTCAAATTTTCTGCAAGATTCATAATACATGTGGGACAAGTAAACCGCCGGATGATCCTACCTTCAACACTTATAGGGGTCAGTGACGTTATTTCGACGGCAGGCACTGCTCACAGTGGAGATCCCCGGGGATCAGTACCTGGAAGGGAAGACAGGACTTCATCCTCTAGAGGTTTCGTTACGGTTCTTAATTGTCCACATTTATGGGGATTACCGCTGGCCACCAGCAAATGCCAAAGACATACCCTGCATGCTAAAGAGTTTACTGTGCATACATCTGCCAGGTCCCTACCATTGCAGCAGGTCACCGAGGCACGCGGTCTAGGTGTCCTCGAGACGAGTGAGCTTAAGCTCGCAGCGCAGTGCAGGCGTGCGGCTACTAACGCGCGACAGGAGTTACTTCGTCTTGGGAGAGTAATGAGTTATATTAACCCAGCGGTCCTCTTCCTCTTGTTCAAAATTGTGGTAAGACCACAGCTGGAATACTAAGTAGGGCCCCGGCCCCGTAACTACAGATAGACGTTAGGCGTATTGAAAATGTGCAAACTCTGGCTACTGGGATGCTATTTGACCAGCGCAAGTTATGGTATGAAGATCGGTTAACTAACATAGGTTTGTTTTCAAGAAGAACGCGAAGGGTGAGTCGTGGCTTAATAGAGCCCATCAAAATCATATAGAATCCCTGTGGCCTCAGGCCCGCCGAACTCTATGAACCAGATAAATCAAAAAACTTGTAGGGCCTTTGGATGAGGTTAAGCGCCAAAGGCCTAGACTAGGGATAAGAGTCGGGTTCGTTGTAAATCGGGTTGCGACTGTTCGGAATAAACATCCTCCGGCTCTCTTAGAGTGCAATATTGTAAAGGAACCTAAATTTAGCTTGACAAAAGGTGTTAGCCACTGCTTCCCTAACTTCCTTGAGTCTCATTACTTCATTAGCGTGCCATCCGTCTTGCACTTGCTACAGTTTTTTAACCCTAGAGAATAAAGAACATTCTAAGGAGCGGAGTGCTAAGGCTCCTTTTCGAGTATTAGCACACGAATCACGGCGCGCGTTAAACGGAACCTTGTTTCTTCCCTGGGTCATGTCCTGTCCTGTGACCTCATTAATATTGCCCAACAGGTGCGAGCAAAATGCGAGTAAACAGCCCCATATAACTGTGAATAACTTTAAACTATTAGCTATTCGTATGTTATACCATAGTATCAATTGAATAATAATATACATAGATATACATATTTATTTATGAGCATAGAAATGTAAAACGAAGATTTAGTTAATTAACAGTAGAAAGGAATGGACATGTCAATAGGCAAATCTTAAAGATACGTGGTAGTTCTAAGCAGCAAATATATGCTACTTAGCCATTTATATTTATTTATATACATATGGTTGGTGGCACCCGGTTTCTGAGTTGCCTGTCACTGCGGTCTGTCACAGGATGCCTGCGTCTACAGAGGGACCATGGATGGCATGCGCTGCACCACCCACCGCTACAACCACATACCCCATATCCAGTGCGAACCCGAAGGACTAAGACCGGGAGGCATGTGGATGGGAGCCACGTTTCAGAAACGGAGCTGGCCCACACTCCTTTACAGGCGAACACAACCACGATGTATTTGGGAATCAAGCGCACACACAAGACGGTAACTGGACCGTATTCCGCTCCACACTACGTGCATGAAACCACTCTTTGATCCTAACACGACCACAAGAACCGTGCACCATATCCCCTCCAACAACGACCAACTGTCTCCTAAAGCCAGTACGGACGAGGTAGTGGGTAATAAACGGGTAATATATATATATATATATATATATATATATATATATATATATATATATATATATATATATATACAATACTGCCAAGTGTTAAGGTTTCCCCGTTAAAGTGTTCATTCATTTCCGTGCTAAAGAACAACGAACTTCTGTGTATATTTCTATGAGCACACATGGTTAGCTTTACCGCAACAATCGCACTGAGCATTTAGTAGTCATACTCAGTGCAATTAGAGCCTTTCATGGAAATCCTTATCCACAATAGCACACCATTGCCCGTGTTAAGCAAATTTCGCTTCGTTAGTGTTACAGCTTCAAAAGATCATTAATGGCGAAAAATTAATGATTATTTTACCCTACGTTCGAGAACTACAATGTACACTGCCACGACCAATCCTAACAAATTCTTCGATTATGTTAAACGACGCTGCGGCGCAAACTGGCCCACACACCATTGCTTCGAGGAGATGGTACCCATGCCTATATTGACTATGACAAGGCATAGGTGCTAGGTAAGCAGTACTCAGGCGTCCTTGTTAGCGAAACAAGTATGCCATGCAGAAAAACAGCTTCAAGAGTCTCTGAGGACTTTTGTCTAGAAAAAACTCCTGTAATTGTGTTTCAACTCCTGCAGTTGCTAAGAGAGATAAACACAACTAAGGATTCCGGGGCAGATTCACTTCATCCAAATTTATTGCACGAATTGGCAGTGCAACTCAGTGGACCTCTGACTTGTGGGATCCAGAAGTCACACAACAAAAATATCTTATCTACCTAATGGAAGGAGGCTGTTTTCTGCCCGCTTTTTACGAGCGGTGCCAGACATACCGGCTAATTACAGGCTTGTCAGATTGACTAGAGTGGTCGTTAACTTACTTGAAAAATTAGTCCGAGATACAGTGGAGAACCAATTAAATGAACTTACCCCGCTTATCGTCCAGCAACATGGTTTTCGCCGGGGACTTTTGTGTCACACAAACTTGCTGTTAACTCCTGAAAGCTGGGCTGTGGCTGTAGACAGTGGACATGCGGTGGACGTGTTTATTGACACCGCCAGGGCCCTTGACACTGTTCCTCTTGCGCGAATCACACTGAAGGTGAGGTCGCATGGAATATCTGATCCCGCTCTCCAGCGGGTTTCAGCTTTGCTGGATGGACGGGAACAGTATATTCTTGTAAGAAACATTCTTTCGTTTCGATAACCTGTCCTAGCGGCTTTCGGCAAGGCTCGGTCCTAGGTTCACTGCTGTCCTCAGTCTACGTGAATTACTTGCTGCGGAGCATCGTCCAGGACAAAATAACCCTAGAAAGGATGTTGCATGTCGGTATTAAGTTGGTCGAGGTGTTACGAGGCCAAACGTACTCTGAACTCCTACTTAATTTGGGGATTTATTCAATGCACATACGAAGGATTAGAGAGGACCTAAGCTTAATCTAACGTATTTATTGTGTAGGTTGGCCCTGTATGGAGCTGGACAAATCGTGATGCGATGGAGTTAAGCCGGCGACACGGTTATCGCGTCGAGTCATCGAGCGCTGAGACTTGCTTCCAGCAAATCGTGTCAAGGGGGCTACGGTTAAGGGGTTTGAGCGCCGACTACATGCTCTTTCAGTTAGCAACACGAAACCATTTCATTTTCCTAATTATTTCCTACCTTCTTACTTCGACACTATGTTTGTATTTTCCATCACCAGTGGTATTATTCTCTTATTTTGACTGCTTTCCATTACACTTTTCCTTCGGTTTTTCTTCATTCCTTCCTTACTTTACGTAACTGACCTAGCAGGGAGAGCCAATGCAAGGAACGTGGGCATTAAATTGATGGACCAGAGTGTTATGCGGGTGTTTTTCTTTTAGATATTCCAAGAAGTCAAGCATCCTTAACAACTCCTGGACCAACGACACGCAGAACAAAGAACACTTACAGGGTTTACGTTGTCCCTCCAGTGTCACCTGAACTTGGATATAAACCGTTTTCTCTTGAACATCAACGAGATTTTGAGTTCCCGCCAGCCGCGCATTTGATGAAGCCTACTTGAACCGGGTGCGAGGCGGTTATTGTTTTAGGCTTTACAACACTTTAAGCTGTTTTATCAATTGGCGGTACAAAGCTAAGCAAAAGAAGTAACACAAACGGTAAAACACCGCACTCAACGGAACCTGACCTTGTCCTTGACGCCTGACTTGGCCTTGTCCTTGACGCCGAACTTCACCTTGTCCTTGACGCCGAACTTCACCTTGGCCTTGACGCCTGACTTGACCTTGTCTGCGGAGGCCCCGTAAACATGCTAAGGCCGCTTTGTTATGCTGTTCCGCGAACGCTCCGATTCAATGATTTATCACTTTCCGTTTTGGGCGAAAAACAGTTACGCAAAAAGCATACACTTCCGGACCTCCCTTATGATTACAATGCTTTGGAACCTGTTATTTCCGCTGATACTATGCGGGTTCATCATTCAAAACATCACTCAACTTACGTAAACAACTTGAATATCACTGAGGAGCAAATAGCTGAGGCGTCAATGAAGGGTGATATCGCTAAAGTTATATCACTACAAGTGAGTAGAACCGGCACATGTGTTGGTAGTGCTCTTTCTGTGGTCTGACGCTCCTTGGTTAGCCAGAATGGGATGCCGATTTTGTTTTATGTATCAAAATCTCAAACCAATCTATCCTTCTAGTTTAACGGTCCCATCTGAACTTGAAGATGACGGGGCAGGTGTACTGTCAAAATAAACTAAAGGTCTGTATCAAGTGGCACGGGATACGCTGGCCTCAAAGATTAAAGCCCCATAAAAGTCAGAAAGATGATGTCATTGCCGAGACTTTTGGACAAGTTAGCGATTTTCTTATTTTGGAGTAGTGTGACACGGAGCCAAATTGTATCCCTCTTACTCAATTGTCCTGCATGGTCGAAACTCGAAAGAACGACCAATTTACGGCTCATAAATAGTATTGTAACCCCGTTCATCTTTCAGAGCGTTGGTTTCGTGATCCGTATATGAGTACTGAACGGGTGGTGCTATCGGGTGACATAACCACTGTCGATTGTATAAAGCAGCCATCTTGAGTTCAGTCGCAAAGTGCAGCGGATCAAAATTGCTTCAGGCTGCAGCGTCAATGGCGGTAGCTTCGTTATCCTCGGTCGTCGATAGCACCGTAGAGGCTAACCACAAGCGTATGTTAGATAGCACCAAGTATGATCAAATAAAATCGCGGTCGCCACACTGGTAGCACAACGTGTATTGTACATGGGCCTGACCAAATGTGCAAAACGGTTGACGGAACTGACAGAAAAGGAAGCAGATCGAAAAATCGGAAAGTATCCCACGGTGACTCAAAGCATCTGTTTTTGCTTCTCACTCTTCGGTTGCTGTAATGCATGGTGCTCTAAACAGTGTTACAAAAAACGGGTCATCCCCTCGAGTTTTACGCCAGAGAGCAAACGCAAAATAACGTACCGGAGTGGAAAAAACATAGAGACGGGTTGTGTGTGTAGTACACCAACTGCTGTAGCATAAGGAATAAATGGGAAGAGTTGAGTGTAAGCTTGCTGGCTTAGTTGCGGTCACCGAGACCTGGCTGTATGAAAGTGACCCAGTCAGCGACTTACTGACTGGTATCGCGTATAGATTGGACAGACCTGGAAGTCAGGTCGTTGGAGGCGTGCTTGTGCTTACCAAAAGCCACTATGGGAATTTGGTTGTTCCCTTCTCTATGATGACATCAAATATACTAGTTCTCTTTAACTGTCTGTGATTGGAGAGTCGGCTGGGGATAATTATTTGTGTGTACCGTAGCCCATCTGCGCAAGTGGAGGATAAGAAACGTAGTAGCTTGCTCAAACAGGTAGCGGCAGCCGCTTCGAACTTTGCGATCATCGGCGACTTGAACCTTCCGCATGCTGACTGGGAACATGCCGCTAGCACTGTAAATACTTTGGTAAGAGAACTGATGGAATGAGTGCACGTGGATGCTTTTTTCCAGTTTATCAACTTTCCGACTCGTAGACTCATTGGCTGCTCTCATTCAGCCTTATATGTAATAACAATGCATTGTCACATGTCAGTGATATATGCAGAGGCTCCTATAAGTAAGAGTGACCACTGCGTTCTCACATTTTCACGGAATAGCAGGAGATTATCGGCAAGATCTTGAATAGTGCGAAACTTCGGCTCATCATCAACAGGAGTACATCTGCCATTTGAACTGACGCTTCGCTGCCATGCAACCATGAGGACCTATGTAATAAAGAATAAGAAGAGGGAGAGAAAGGGGACTTACCTGAAAACCTAAATGCCCTAAGCGAACATTCAAGGTCAAGGCGCCTACACCTTGTGTAGACAACATACCGTCACAAACAGCTGGCTATCGTACAAAGATAAGGCGACATCGGCGAGACAGCTTCCTTGCGGCTTTCACTGCCCGGCGTCATAATCTGCCATTACCCCGCAGATAACTCAGCACCAAACACACTTTAAACAGGCAATCCGATGAGGAGACGGCAACAGACGCGCCACTGTTGTCTACTGCGAGCTATGTCCTGTAAAGCCTCGAGCCAAGCACAAGGCGAGTCACGTGGACTCCAGCCCGGAAGGCGAGACGGACCAACGGCACCCAGTTTGGTCGTCAGTGACTTTATTTCCCGCTGCCAAGTCAATTTCTGTCCACCTTGAGTCTTGCGCCACCCTACACCTGGCAGACTAAACAAGGCTGCCTCTACCCTAATCATTTACGTGATAAAGCTCTACTGATTGGGCCCCTGAACAAGCGCAAGCCACTTTAGAACAGCGATGGAGTGTAATCAAAGACAGGCTTGTTCAACTGCTGGACGAATTTGGTCCATTGCGCCGCAGTAAACACCTTAATAAGTTCCGCTGGTGGCGTCAGCGTATCGGCCGGGCGCTAATAAAGCACAACGATTTTTTGAAAAAATTTCGGGGAAGCGGAGGGTTTACGCGTTGGCTACACTACAAAAGATCCCGTAATTGGCATGGTAAATACCGCTATGAGCTAAAGCTTACCCAGAATGCGAAAACAAATCCGGAGATATATTACAGCTATGTTCAATTGAAGGCTTCCTTGAGAGAACGGGTCGGTAACTTAATCATGGAGGGCGGTTGCCACGCTACAGATGATGCGGATAAGGCACAGGTGTTGCTGCGTGCCTTTCTCAAGGTATATCGTATTGATAGCGGCTGTCCTATCCCCTCACAATCACATCTCCATGTTGAGTATAATGTGCATCCGAGGTCCTCGATGTCTTGACACACTTGGCCCTACAAATCAGCTGGACCTGATAATGTGCATCCTGCTATCATCAAGCCACTTGCTATAATACCCCAGTATCCTGCTTTTGATTTGAACATGTCAATTCAGGAAGGTAGGCTGCCACGACTGGCAAGACACAGCTGTTGTAGCAATTCACAAATGGGGCTCTAAATCAGCGCCCGAAAACTATAGGCCAGTCAGCATCACTATCGTCCTGTTGAAATGCTTTGAAAAGCTTATCAGATACCGGATTTGTGGACACGTAGCTGCCCATATCTTGATAGCAGCGGAGCAAATATGCTTCGTTAAGCGGTAGTCATGCATTACCAATCTATTATCCTATTTAGATGAGATAACTCGCTGTCTTGATGATGGCATCTCAGTCGAAGTTTCCTTTTTAGACTTCAGTAAGGTTTTTGACTCCGTCAACCATCATTTCTTACTTGAAAAGCTCATGGTTTGGGATATAACCACAGCCATTGAATTGGTTAGCAGAATTTCTTTGCAACAGGACCTTCTGAGTTAGAATCGGTCACTCCTCAAGTGAGGATACCGCTCACAGCAGTGTTCTTCAGCGTTCTGTTTTAGGCCCGCTATTGTTCCTTTTATATCTAAATGATTTGCCTCCGCTCCTCGAGAACCATTACTAGATCTTTGCAGACGATGTAAAACTTGTAAACAGGGAGATCGAGGCACGCTATCGAAAGACCTTTGCACTGTATTAAGACAGTGTTCATCATGGCATTTGCTCCTTAATGCCAGCAAATATCAATTGTCTTCCAGCCATCATGAGATTACAGTGTAAAGTACTACCGGTACCCTGACATTACGGCCTATTGATCAGGCTCGAGATTTGGGTGTCATTATGACGAATACCTTCAAAGCCACAGCATAGTGTCAGCATGCCACCAACAAGACGCGACAGGAATTATTCCGTCTCAAGAGAACGTTATGCAACACCAAGCCAGTACTTTACCTCATATTTTATAAGGCGGCGGTACGGCCTCACTTAGAGTACTGTGTGCAGTCATGGGCGCCCTATTTCAGAAAGAATGTGTCCTGCATAGAAAAGGTCTAAAAACCGGCGACTAGGATGATTGAGTGCCAGGTGGGAAATCATACGATGAACGTCTACTGGGGCCTAGAACTGTTCGCTATGGAGCGGCGCAGAGTATGAGGTTACCTGATAGAAACTTTCAAGAGTATGACGGGCCTCAGTGGGATCAAGCCTCCCGATCTGTTTGAACTTGCTGCATCCGACCACCAACGGGGGCATGAACTTAAGATTAAGCATCAGAGGCCCAGGCTTGGTGGCTTCAAAAGTGTTGCCTGGAACGGCTTGATGTAGCAACTGGCGCAGCTCCAAACATTATCAACATCTCTCAGGATGCTTTGACTATTAATCCAAAAAAACCCTCCACCCCAAATGTTGAGTCGTATTTTACACACCTTATGATTGCCATGTACCGTAGTTTGCGACTTCACTAGACCTGCTAGCATCCGCAGGATTTCCGCATGCTCTGAACAACTTGTGGAGATTCGCAGAACAATTCCCACTGTTGTTGTATACAATGCATTGCGTAAGCTACCGCGAAGCCTGGTGTACGCAGCGTGTGGTCGAGCGGTAACATTCTATTTCATCGGGGAACTTCTGTAAACGTTTCCCACTTATCCGGTCTACTAGCTATAAGAAACTGACTGCAGTCGAACTACTGCGCGAAACTAACAACTAGCCGGTTAACAAATGTCCTAATTGGCTTGTTCGTTGGGCGGAGCAATTTGCACAGCATTACAACTGATCAACTAACCGAGTTCTTAGTTCTGTATTTACCCTCCTTCGTCACGTGCAGGCACTTCCCTCTTGCTCGAGATATTTGCGTCACATCAGTCTTCCCGCCTGATTGAACCTAGACGGATATTCCGTTCCACAAGATGTAACAGAACAGAATGCGCTTGTCATCGAGAGATCAGTCTATTGTGCCGAAGATGTACAAGTCCCTGGTTTTGCGGAGGCTCAGTAGCGTAACCGTACGTGGATAGCATGCTGGGTTTCGCCCAAGTCGATGCTATATTAATCATATTTTTAAGCTACAAAAGAAACTGGAACACCATTGGGCTTTTCGTAGACCTATCATCGTCGTTTTGCTAGACATATAATGTTTGCTGGTCCAATCGACAGAGCTGTTCTCTGGATTTGCCTACTGAGAAGACGAGTACCCGAGAAGTTTATTAATATCCTCAAAGCAATCTTTTCTCTGACATCGGCTGTTTAAGTATTCGATGAATA